ATCACAACTGGACAGACAAATGCGAAGAGGAGCTTGAAGCACACACATGCACAGCACAGCAAGGAGCAACTCCAGCTAGAGAAGCGGAAGATGGTGCAGAGACACGGCGGCAGGAGTGCTCCAACAAAGCCATCATGAAGGGGGCTGACATCCGCAGATACCATCATCGTTGTTAGAAGCACACAAGTAGGACTTTCATCCCATAACCTGCCCCAGCGACACGCGCAACGAACAGAAGCTTCGATGATGCCTCCAAGAAGGTAGATGACACAAGCTACGCCACCGCCTCCAGTCCAGAGCAATAAGCTAGGCAGGGCTTTTACCCAAGGTCTATTTGTCCACAGACATAGCCCACGACACGGCCACCTGTGGCACCTGGAGCGCAGGCCGCAAGCAGCAGAGTGCGCCAGCATCACCCGCGCAGAGCCCAAGCCACCAACACGGACATTGGCACGTCGCATCGAGGCCACAAATGACCACGTCGCCGCACCAGCCACCGCAGAGAGGAGGGGCACTATGCCTAGGGGCACGGGCACCCAGGACGGCTAGCGGCAACACTCGACCGCCGTGCTGACCGCTGCGCCGCTGAACACTAGAACCGCCGGGCCACACCCCCGACTCGGGGGACGTAGGCACGAGATCCGGCCCCCAAGGGCCCGTATCTGCCCCACCAGCCACCCGCACAGCTAGAAGGATTTGCACCTGCAACTGCAGCGCCGTCCGCGGCTCCGACACCTCCACCTAGCACGTGTGCTCCATCTCGAACGCAGTCACCGTGGTTCCACGGGAGGCGCTCTTGACGTCTACCTCACGCGGACCTCCAGCACGACCCAGACACGTGGCTGCCTGGCCCGGCTGCCCGCCCGCTCGGCCAGTGGTGGCACGGCTGCCGAGAACAGCCGCCAACTCGGCCGATGATGACATTGCTATCCCACACGGCCGCCCACACACTTGGAAGGGAAGATGGTCAGCCACCATCGCGCCGATCGACACCAAGGTCGCCGCCGCCACGTGTTGAACACTAGATCTAGCGAAGGAGGCGCAAGATCCAGCTACGGAGGGCCTAGATCCGCCCCGGCAGCCACACAATCCACTGAAGATGCAGGAGAGGAGGAAGGGTGGTGCGGGCAGAGGGGAGGGGCGGGACTGCAGACTGAGCTCCTTTGGGTGTCACCGCGGGCCGCTGCTGCCCCTCACCGGAGAGCGGCGGCGGCGGCTGGAGTGGCAACCCCCCCCCCCACCCACCCACCCACCCACCCACCCACCCACCCACACACACACACGATACTATGGATTGTGTCATGGGCTTGTGGCCTAGGCCAGCACGCAGCAACTCCGACTCCAGCCCTTTTTCTAGCTAATAAGATGATTCCTAACCATCTCAACCATTAGGTTCACGAGATAAACAGCTGGTGTCAGACTTTTGCTCATGCTTGACTCTTGCTAGTGCTATCTCCAGGTTAGTACAGGACCACTGGACAAAAAGACCAACGGTCTATCAGAAAGCTTGACATCATGCTCGATCCAGATTCCGGATAAGGTTCAGGTCGAAAATCATATCGGAAGAATGAATTGTGTGTGTCAGGCTCAAAGTTAAGTCTTTCTGATAACATCTTTCCCTGTTGCCGGTATCATCTAGACAAACAATACGCTACGGCAGTATACAATGCACCACCTGATGTCGATGCTCGTGCAACTTGGTGATATCCTCCTTGTTTGCCTTATCAGAGAATTATTTCTAAGACCAAGCCTCTCTAAAGTCTGAACCATTTCTCTATATCATTGAAACACATCTTTTATCTTTTATACTTTCCTGCACAGAGAACATAACAGAAATCGTCATTATTACAACTCACATGCACTGATCGGCACTGAGTTAATAACTTAATATGGCGTGGCGTATCGTGCCTCCCCTTACTACTGTGAACAAAAATGCGAAGAAATTATGGGATCAACACAGTTCCCTGAAGCGACGACTGCAACAGCAGCATGACCACTACTGAATTATGAAAGAGAACAGCATTAGTCCACTGCTATATACACGTTAGCATGTCACCAACAAAATTGTGACTAAGGTTATACCATAATGTAATAAAAAAAAACAGTTGACAAACTACCCAACAAGTAATAGTGGTCAGGAAGGGACCACACAGAATAAGACAACTACATATGCATGTCAAACGAATTGGAATAATATAAGGTGCAAGCAAACATCACTGTTCAACTCCAAGTGCATATGCTTAGTGAGTAGTGACAACAGGTGAACAAGATCTGCAAAAGAATGAGCGCAAGCCTCAACAACCTCAAACACAGAACCAATAGTATACAGTTTCAATCAAATACACAAATAACCTGCAAACTGAAATAACTGAATTTGAAGTACCAGGGGGCAACCTGAAGCACAGAACCAATAGTATACAGTTCAAATACACAAATAACCTGCAATAACTGAATTTGAAGTACCAGGGGGCATCCTCAAGCAGTACAATTATCGCACCATGGCAAGAAATGACTGCTGCAATCAAGATTCTACAGTCACGGTTAGGGCCTTCTGCTCACACATTATGTAACACACATGCACTTGCTGATAGGCCGATGATAGGAATTATACAACACACTACTAGTCTACTGCACAGTATCTGCTGTCTATGCTCCTGTTGCATAATAATGTCCTCATTTTTCTACGTCATATAGATTTGTCTATGGTTGCTGTTATTCGCTTGCGCTTCAGCATCAGCATGTATGCTCACAAAACCCTTCTTCATACCAGTGAAACCAAATTTCCTGCACTAGTATGTAGGGGATATATGTGGGGGATATCTGAAATTTGTTGCCTAGGGAGAAAAGAGTATGACAGAAACCACAGCACAACTACTGATTAGTAATCTGATAACACCAATAGTCACTGAGGGTAATTCACAGGAAAGTGAGAACAATGCTGACGAATCACCCAATAAGTAACAAGACACTACATATATGTCAAATAAAATTGGAGTTGCAATAAAAGATGGAAGCAAACATCAATAGGGCACCACAGCATGTCCCTATGCTTAATGAGAACATGTAACAACATCTGAAAAAGACTGAGCCAAAGCATTGACACTGAACCTACAGTTGAAATATACACAAACATACTGCAGTAAAAAATTTTGACATACAGGGGCATGATCAGAAAGTCCAGGTACGATACGTAGCAGACTAAGAAATTTTGACATACAGAGGCATGGTCAGAAAGTCCAGGTACGATACCTGGCAAACTAATTAGAAACACATACAGACATGTGACAAACAAACCAAAGCATCATTTCAGTGTTAAGGATAAATCTAATGGGACATGACCAAATTAACTGCCAAAACCGACCAAACATTGCGATTTTTCAACCACTTTGCTGTGCAACTTCAAGGTCATGGCAATGTAGTAGTGGAGAAGTTATAAGCAAATTCTTTGCAGCATAGCATAATCACATTGTAACACACACATAAGAGTTCTAACTTAAATAAATATTATATAATCCACGCCATAGGGAGAAGAAGAAGGACCTACACATGGTTTTATTGACTTGGAGAAGACTTATGATAAAATACCAAGGAATGTTCTGTGGTGGGCTTTGGACAAATATAAAGTCCCAACGAAGTACGTTGGGCTCATTAAGGACATGTACAACAATGTTGTGACTAGTGTTCGAACAAGTAATAGAGACACAGATGACTTCCCGATTAGGATAGGACTACATCAATGATCAGCTTTGAGCTCTTATCCGTTTGCCTTAGTGATGGATGAGGTCACAAGGGACATACAAGGGGACATCCCTTGGTGTACGCTTTTCGCGGACGATGTAGTGCTAGTTGATGAAAGGCGGACATGAGTGAATCAGAAACTGGAGTTATGGCTGTAGACTTTAGAGTCCAAAGGTTTTAGACTCAATAGAACTAAAACTAAGTATATGAGATGTGACTTCGGCACTACTAGTCGGGAGGAGGAAGATATTAGTTTGAAAGGTCAAATAGTGTCTAGGAAGGATACATTTCAATATTTAGCATCAATGCTATAGAGAGACGGGGATATTGATAAAGATGTTAGCCATAGAATCAAAGCAGGGTGGATGAAGTGGCGCCAAGCATCTGGTGTCCTATGTGACACACAGAAACTAAAAGACAAGTTTTATAGGACGACGATTAGACCTGCTATGTTGTATGGTGCAGAATGTTGACTTACGAAAAAACGACATGTTCAACAGATAAGTGTCGTGGAAATGCGTATGTTGCATTGGATTTGCGGCCATACAAGAAGGGATTAAGTTTGGAACGATGATATACATGATAGATTAGGGGTAGCACCAATTGAAGAAAAGCTTGTCCAACACCGGTTGAGATGGTTTGGACATGTCCAACAGAGACCTCCAGAGACACCGGTGCGTAGTGGAATCCTAAGCCAGGATAGTAACATAAAGAGAGGTAGAAGAAGACCGAAGTTGACTTGGGTAGAGGTAATAAAAGAAGACTTGAAAGGATAGAATATACCCAAAGACTTAGCCTTAGATAGGAGTGCTTGGAAAACCGTTATTCACATATCGAACCTTGACTGTTTCTGCTGGGTTTCAACTCTAGTCTACTCTAATTTATTTTAGGACTTAAAGACTTTGTTGTTGTTGTATAATCCACGCCATGGCATCCATAGGCACTTAACTTAATACAAGCGTCATTCATTGATTGACTCAGACCCTGCTAACTGCTAGCATATAGAGCCTCGTTCGCTTGTCTTAAATTTTGCTTGTTCGGCTTATTTTTTTAACCGGAACAGTGTTTTTCTCTCACAACAATTCTGCCGGAACAGTATTTTTCAGCCAGTTTCAGCCAAAGTTCAGACCAGCGAACGGGACCTAGATAGATAAGATATGTGCACTTAATTAAATAAGTTAAACTATGAGCCTCATTGCTTCACCTCTACTTCACTTTATCATCTTCTTCCTCTTCACCCTCATCAGAATCGCTCACATCCTCTAGTAGTACAGTTCATCCTCTTCTTCGTCTTCGTCTTCACTCTCATCGGAGCCTTCACCCTCATCTGAATCGCTCTCGTCACCACCTTGGTACTCCTTTTCAGAGAGGATGAGGGATTTCATTTTTTCTTCGATTGCTGGCCATTCTCGGTCGATCACTGCCTGCACCTCGGCCCTGCGCTTGGCGCTCGCCACGTCGAGTTCGACGTAGCCCTTCTTCTCCAGCTCGCTGCGCACCCACTCCTGCGTCCTGGGGAGCCCCTCTTCCATCTCGAAGAACGCCTTGGCCAGGCGGTAGAGCCTCCTCTTGTCCTCGTCCGCCTCCTCACGCGGCTGCGGCGTCAGATCCGGATTGCTGCGCTTCAGGACAGCTAGGCGGGCTGGGGGCTTCATCGGCTTCAAAGCCAGGATCCAGCTGATGTCCGCCTTTGACAGCTGCCGGAACTTCTGTTCTCCTGGCGCCAACATAGCCGCCGCTGCCTCCTCCACATCTTTGGCCTTCCTTCGGGTGGCGCGCGGAAGTGGCATCCGACAAGACGCCGGATCCTTCGCCGCCTTCCTCTTGGTGGAGGACCCCTTCGACGAACCGTGAGGTCCGGTGGCCGGCGCTTCTTTCTTCGCCTTCCTCTTGGTGGGGTACCTCTTCAACGGGCCCTGTGGTCCCGTCGCCGCCGCCGCGCTCTTGGCGGTGCCCCGGCTCAGCGAACCTTCCCCGCCTGCCATCGGCGGCCGATTGGAACCTTCTCGCCGGGAAACCTCGAAGCTTACAGCGATTGGAAGTGAGATCTCGCAACCCTAGCTGTCGATGGCTTGGCTGAAGGATGCGGCGGCCGGGTGGTCTGGATCTATATGAAACCTCGAACCCTACCTCCCTAATCAGGTCGGATTCGGGGAGAGAGACGAAGTCGGAATCGAACGGAAAATGGAGGCTGCCATCGTCGGTCCAGCCCGAGTCGACTCCACTCCCCCGCGCCAGTTGGGCCGGGCCGAACGTGGGACGTAACGAAAAAGGCTTCCAGCTTCATCTAACACATTCTTGTTTGCTTCTCAAAAAAAAAAAAAAACGCATTCTTGTTTGACGAATTTTAATGGAACACATTCTTGTTTGACGAATTTTAACATAGTGTCTGAAGATATCATTAAAATCCGTCAAACAAGGATGTAACAATGCCATCGCCTTTTGTTTCACGGTAAGAAACATTTATATTTTAACAATTTTCTAAAACACATTTAAAATTAATTAGAATATTTTGACAATTTTTTGCTTATATATATATATCGTATCACAACATATCTTTAGGATTTTCATTGCAACTTTCAAAATCTTAAAGAAATTTTTGGTGGTTCTATAAACCTTACCAGGTATTTATCAGATTTCTTTTTAACTATACAAATGGAAAATGGTGAAATCATCTTAAAACCGTTTCTAATCCGACAGATAGGTAATTTAAATAGTTTGGAGAGTTGAGGAATAAGATACTCGATTATAGAGTTTGATGAGAAAAATTAGACCATAAAAAGTTTTTTATCTCTTTCATTTGTATAAACCAATCGATATTAAGGATTAGATTTGACATGTGACGACCACTCAAGGTAACGACATGCCGACACCAAGTTATGCCAAGAATCTAGTTGTTGAGGTCCACAACTGTGGCTCTTCTAGTGCCAAAACTTGACGACACGCTATGACTCGAAAAAAAAAGTCTTCCTGACATCCTCAACTATTGCGTGAATCTGATTTGTCCTCTCAATTAAAAAAATAGATTTGTTGACCTTCGCAACTCTTAAAACGTCTGATTTACCTCTGCGAATGGTTTTAAAAGCGGTTGTGGCTGATGTGCACCATGTCGTGGCACCACGTTAGAAGAGGGAGGTAAATCAGACTTTAGCGATAATTTAGGGAGGTCAATTGTGCTTTTATAAAAAGTGTAGAAACAATTTTTTGAAAAACATCCATTTTCTAGAACAAATATGCATTTAAAAATACTAAAATATGATTTAATATTAGAATTATTTAAAATTAGGCCAAATAGGAAACAGAGGATGCAGACCAAGAAAAATCCTTGCAGACCGCTAGCATGAATCACCACACAACACCCCCCAAAATAAGTAAAAAACGTTTTCTTGACAGAAATGCCTACCTTAAGCATCAAAATATTCACCGGAAATTCTAGATAAAAAATATTTCAAGCTCTGATTGCACATTAACAACATGTATCATCCGATTTGACTTTCTAGTAGCACCGTCTTCTTCTGGGCACATTACGATGATGATGTATGTAGACTCATTGGACCATCATCACAAACCGACGTGTGACTTTTTAGACTCCAGACCCATGTCTGTGACATGGACAACATCATCCGAATGGACACGACTGTTTCTTCATTTGTTACGTACCCTACTAATGCATTATCTTTTTTTTTCTACGTCCACGCAAGAAAACAACTCCGCTGAGATGTCTTCTCTAAGTCCACCTAAAAAAGTGTACCCAGAAAAACAACACATTTCAAACGAACCGTCTAGATGCACTCTAAGCCTTCTCTCCCCTTACTCGTTACACAATCAAGGGCCTGAATTGAGTGTATCAAATCTCCTCATCGTTCTCCCCACACCCACGTCATGCGGCGACATCGGCAGAGGAGGAGATGGCGCGCGTGTTCCTCAAGCTCGACGCGAACGGCGACGGGCGGATCTCGCGGTCGGAGCTGGCGGCGCTGTTCGAGAGCCTGGGCCACGCAGCCTCCGACGACGAGGTGGCGCGGATGATGGCCGAGGCGGACGCGGACGGCGACGGCGACGGCTTCATCAGCCTGGACGAGTTCGCGGCGCTGAACGCGACGGTGGCCGGCGACGCCGCCGCCGTCGAGGAGGACCTCCGCCACGCGTTCCGCCACCTCGCGTGCTTAATCCCTCTTCCATTGCCCTATCTCTCTTTCTCATCTTAATCACCAGGCGACCAGCCCTAGCGAATTCATATTCCATTCCTGGTTCTCCGTCCATGGCCGCGTCGCTGCTTCACCGTGGCGCTGTCGCCAGCCGCCGGCGATGCCCGGTGGAGATGCTGCGGCGGCTGGTCTCGTCCGAGGCGGCGCCCGAGCGGGCACCGTCGCGGCCGCCGCCGGAGATGCCGCCGTTTGACCACCGGCCCCGCCCGTACGCCGGGATGGGTGGCGCCGAGATCTTCGAGAAGAGGAAGGCGGTGCTCGGCCCGTCGCTCTTCCACTACTACCAGAAGCCGGTATACCCTCCGAGTGTTGATCTTAATTAAATTATATCCGTCTCACTGTCTGCTCGTCTTTGTTAAACTGTCTTCGTGCGGTGAAATTAGATTAATGTTCCAAAAAGGTGGGGTTCAGTGAACATGTGTTGACCTTCATCATAAAGCAGCGTCATCTTTGTTGCGACACCAATTTACTAGGAGAATAAATTTTTAATGTATTTTGCATATGGTGGTTTACCTTGACTGTCTATGTTTCGGGTGAAACTGATCATGTTAAAGAATTCTTGTAGCACAACAACCACCGTGTAGTCTTCTTACTCTATAAAACGTTGAAGCAGTGACAGAATGACGTTGACACGATGTCTAAAGAATTTACTATTCAATTGTGTTCACAGCTCAACATTGTGGAGGGGAAGATGCAGTACCTGTATGACGAGAACGGGAAGAGATACCTCGATTGCTTTGGGGGCATCGTGACAGTGTCGTGTGGCCATTGCCATCCGGATATTGTGAATGCGGTGGTGGAGCAGACCAAGTTGCTCCAGCACACACAACCACCATTTACTTGCATCATGCCATTGTAGAGTTTGCAGAGGCCCTCACCTCCAAAATGCCTGGCAATCTCAAGGTAAATGTACTGTCTGTCTGGGTGCCGCCATAACACGCACCTTTTCATTTATGTATGCAGGTAAGAGCTGAAGACCTCGTCATGTTTTTGGGTGCTGCAGGTTGCGTATTTCGTGAATTCTGGTACTGAAGCGAATGAATTGGCAATGTTGATGGCCCGGCTGTATAGTGGGAATCTCAGTATGGTTGCACTCAGAAATGCATATCATGGTGGAAGTGCCGGTACGATTGGATTGACTGGTTTGCAGACATGGAAATACCCAATTCCTCAGGTATGTGTACTGTATAATCAAGTACTGCACTTTCATCAAATTATTTGACTGGTTATGTTTTTCACAGTCACCATGTTTGCAGAAGTAGATTCTTAGTTATTAATAATTTATCTCTCTGTTCTACCCAGCAAAAAAGTATCCATTTGTTTATTAGTTAGATCTATCATAGCCTCATCAAAAATTTTGCAGGGTGAAATACATCATGTCATGAACCCTGATCCTTATCGGGGGACTTTCGGGTCTGATGCTGCAGCTTATGCTAAGGAAGTCGAAGAACACATAACTTATGGAAGTTCAGGAAGGGTTGCAGGCTTCATTGCAGAAACATTCCAGGTATAAACTTTGAACAGACCATTTATAAAATGCTACAACGAACTGAAATAATAGGTATCGTTTGTTTATAAACTCACTTCAAAATAACTTATCCTTGTCGCAATCTTGTTGATACACTATCTTTGCTGTAGGGTGTGGGAGGTTCTGTTGAACTAGCTCCTGGATACCTAAAGTTAGCTTATGACATTGTGCGCAAGGCTGGTGGCGTTTGTATTGCTGATGAAGTCCAGAGTGGTTTTGGTCGTACTGGCAGTCATTACTGGGGATTCCAGACACAAGGTGTCATTCCTGACATAGTCACCATGGCAAAGGTCTATCTTGTACTCTAAAATGCAAGCATGTACTAATCAACCCTCGGGAAAATGTCTCTTTTTATTTTTTTTTTGGTGGCAACATCTTTCCATGCTGATGTGACAATTTATTTATTTTCCATGTTTTCAGGGAATTGGCAATGGCCTACCATTGGGGGCAGTTGTAACAACTCCTGAGATTGCAAGTGTGTTAGCTCAAAAAATCCAATTTAACACATTTGGTGGAAATCCAGTTTGTTCTGCTGGTGGATTAGCTGTGCTTAAGGTACTTGACAAGGAGAAACGCCAGACACATTGTGCTGATGTTGGAGCTCACTTGGTGGAGCGTCTAAAATCGCTTCAGGAGAAGCACAAAAGTAAAATTTCTAATCTTGATTTAGTTCGTGTACTCTTTATGTTGTCCAACCTTTTCGGCTAACCATTTGTTTTTAAAAAAAGTTCTTCTAACTCAGCTACTCTTGGCCTCGCTCTTGTCAGTCATAGGTGATGTTAGAGGAAGGGGACTGATGCTTGGGGTGGAACTCGTTACGGACAGAAAGGAGAAGACCCCTGCCAAGGCAGAAACCACTGAACTGTTTGAGAAGCTCAAAGGTGCCATCTCTCTTCTCCCCCCTCCATCTCCATGGCCATGATTATTTATTGATCTCTACATGCCCTGATATTTATGTTTTTTTCTTCATAATCTTTGTTAACAGATCTCGGGGTAAAGGTTAAACTACAAAATAACAAATTAGATGTTTTTATGATAATTCTCTAGATAAAACCGTTGCGTTAGCACGGACATTATACTATAAATATAATTTTCATTACAACGTTTCTCCACAACGTTCTTGTCATGATTATTCTTCAAATAACGTTTGTCCATGTATACCATCTTAAATATAACATACAACTATACTTAATGCAAATCCTCGACCAGTCATGTTGACGCTCGATGTCTCCAGAAATGGTCCTGTCTCCGGTTCCTCCCTACACGTACGTCTTCTGCATTAACTAATATCCATGACAAATTAGGCTACAATATAATAATTGGGTAAAGGTTAAACTACAAAATAACAAATTGGATGTTTTTATGATCATTCTCTAGATAAAACCGTTGCGTTAGCATGGGCATTATACTAGTTGTCGTAGTAGACCTACGCAGGAGGTGCACGGAGGTGCAGGGAGAGACGGCGGAGGCGGTGTGCAGCCGAGGACTCCTCCCCCGCGGTGGATTCACCAGCGTGGGTCGCCATGGGCGCGCCGCGGAGGTGCTCGACGAAATCGTGGGGGCGGAGGAGTGCGCACGAAGGGAAGGAGGGGAAGTGGTGAGGTTACGATAAAGACGGTTTGGCTTTAATAATGGAGTCTCGGTGGGCGTCGCACGGGCGGGTCCCTAGAAGTTTTGTGATTTTTGTTTATGCCCTTATGTTGTGTTTGGATGGTAGTTTGCAGTTACGGTTTAGTCCTCATTTGGGGTGCTCGATGCAAATGTGTATTTGTTGGAGGGTGGTTTAGGGGATTCGAATGTAGATACTAGGAGTCAGGACGGTGAAGGCAACGACGACGGGATATGGAGGTGACATGTCAACGCATGGATGGTGATGTGGAGTGGAGATAAGGCTCGGTCGATGAGTTGGCGTCCGACCCTAATGACATGTGGGACCAAACAAGCTGTGGTACATCTTGGGTCCACACGCCAGTGACACAAGGGGCTGAGTGCGTATTGTTTTGGTGCGTCTTCTTGGTTTTTGTTGTTCGTTGCGGTGGAGAAAGGGATCGAACGTGTGGTGTTTCAATCCAGATTCTCTGACTTTGTGAACAAAAGTGACAGGTGACTTTCTTGGTGCCGGATGCCATCCATTTAGAATCCAACGGTGGCTGCCCATCTCAGTTCTCCCACTGCAGGCCTGTCCAGCCCAAACGTCAAAGCAGCCCAACTAAAGCTCACTTCGTGGACAGAAGACATGCAGTTTTTAGAGTTTCAGTATACAGTCATTTTAGTGCAGAACTAAAATAGAATTCACTTAAATATTTTTAACAGTTCCATGCTAATAATTAACTTCCATCAATAATCACCACTACAGCATATAAATGCGTACAGTTAGCCAGAGAACTATCAAGGCTAAAAGAACCAAAATAATCTCCATTCAAGCAATCCATTAGCACACGGGTGCTCAACAATCATCCCAAAAGACGAATATGTTCCATATGTGATAGCAGCTACTAAATCAAAGATTAAAAAAAGATCTTGAACGGCCGGGTTAGAGAATTCAGTACGACCCTGCAAAGGCAAATGAGCAGTTAGATAAGAGAAGAGAAATATTGGCACTAGCTCTTCAAAATCTAAGAGGAGCAACAATAAAAGTACCATTATCAAATCTGTGAAGCTTGTGAATGCAAAGGAATTCTGGTCCTGATGGGTTTGGCCTTTTTGGACTTTTGATTGATGAGATTTTCCATGCACGCCTTCCAATGTCCAGATGAGGATGGTGACGCGCGAACTTCCCCCGTCCCATGCGGTGCTTCACGGGAGTATATGTATTTATTTGGAGTCGCCTATATCTTTCCATGCTCCCCTCTTCTAGGTCTCCCTCCAAAAACATAAACATATACTTAGTTTATCTTAAGTCAATCTATTTTAATAAATTTGATAAAAAAAATTAGACATCACTTGGGAAGACTTCATCTCACAGGCCAGAGAAACCGGAGAATCCATATTTAGATGGCTTCATCATCCTAGTCCTAGTAAAAGTGGCTTCTCCCCACTGGGGCTTCGCCTTTGAAATCGTATTTGAGCCGGTGTATGACAGGGCTTCACTCGAGAAGCCAGAAAAGATAGAACCAAATAGACCTTAGGGGGTGTTTGGCACTGCTTGCTCCCGTTTTTTCAGCTATGCTCAACGAACTCCACCATAGAGCAGCTCCGCCATGGAGTTTGTGGAGCAGGTGGTACTGTTTGGCACGCAGCTCTGCTCCAGCTCCAGGAATGGGTTGTTTTTATGCAAATGGTCCATTATGCCCCTAATTGAAATTGCACGATATTTTCCGGCAAAAATAGAAAACAAATGCTAGAACATTAACAGAGGCCATAATTCAAATACAAATAATTGTCCCATAAATTGTAAATGATCGAAAATTAATAAACAAAGGTCATAATTCGAATACAAATAATATTCCCTATGTAAGCACAACGACTACGAATCCAAGTGTTCCAATAATTCTAGCCCCAAGCAAGAGAGAGAGCGGTGGCCAACTCATCACAGAATTTACCCATAGTAGGAGTGTTGGGTTCTATAGTAGACCTATTCGATGGCGCTACATATTTGTGATACCTGGCCACCAGGACCAGTGCCTTGGCTGCCGATGCCCTGGCCACCAGGGGCTGGGCCGCCGGTGCCATGTCCACTGGTGCCGGGCCGGTGCCTAACCACTGGTCGCCCGAGGCAGGAGAGGGCTAGGCATGGCCACCAGGAGCCACTACCCCCGCGCCATAGGAGCCCTGTTGTGGCGACGGGCCATAGGGGGCTAGCGGCGTCGTTGCGGCGTAGCCTGCCGCCACCGACTACGCGCCATACAAGGCTGACGGTGGCACGGCTTGAGTGGGACGGGAGAGGCCGACTCTGGGTGCCACCGGTGCCGAGGAAGAACGATCGGAGTTTGCGAACATGTGCTGCCCAAACACAAGGTCGTCCGGAATATGTCCGTCGCCTAGGTCCTCCGAGCCATCCATGGGAGCGGCGGCCTAACACTGAAGAGGAGACTGACGGCGCTAGGGTTAAAGGAGAGGGGCGGCGCTGAGGAAGAGGAGAGGGGCGGTGCGTAGGTGAAGGGCCGCGTCGCGGCGCTTTCACGGACGTTGGGGAGGGGAAGCGATTAGGGGAATGTAATCTATGATTAATGAGTGGCAAGGTGGGTAATTATCCCACAACTCTATGTGGGAGTACGAAACTCCAAAAACTGGAGTACCCCTTGAGGTGCTCTAGAAAAAAAGTGGAGTTAGCCTCCAGCTCCACCTTTTTTTTTTGGAGCGGAGTTCATGGAGCTGGGTCGTGTTTGGTAACGCGGAGCTGGTGCGGAGCTAGAAAGGCGGGAGCGGAGCAGTCCCAAACACCCCCTTAATAAGTATCAATATTATCAACTAGAAAAGTAAACCATAGCGTCTTCTCCCCACTGGGGCTTCTCCCGGAAAGCCGTTTTTGAGCAGTGTTTGACAGAAGCCAGAAAAGCCAGAGCTAAACAAACCTTAATAGTATCAACAACATTTACCAACTAGAAATGTAAACCGTAAATATATTTCATAATGAATTTGTTTGATATCATAATTATTATTGTCCTTCCTCGTAAAAAGTATTAGTGTTATACAAATCTGATCGAGCTTATGATATATAGTTTGACTAAGACAATATAAGAAATACTTGTATTTTAGAATCGCATGGAGTACTATTACGAAAAATACATCATTTAAGAGAAGATTTAGCCAAACCTTACAAACTGAAAAACACAAATAACTTTTAAATTTCTCAGTTTGAAATGTGTCGGTCACTCTCTCCACTCATTAAAACATATCATTTAGGAGAAGATTTAGCCAAACCTTACAAACTAAAAAACACAAATAACTTCTATCCATGGATGGAGAGAGTATATGGGTAGAAATATATTGAAAAACACTTGCACAATATCAAAAACTTTCTAAGAGTATATTCTAAAATAAATTGAAAGATGTGTGCCCTTCCTCAATCTCATTCCCCCCCTCCTTTGAGGAACGTGCGCAGATGCCGTTGCCCGTCGCCTGCTCGAATTATATCCGCAGCCTGAGCCTGACCTCCTCCTCCTTTTCTTGAGTGACGTCCATGGATGACCTTGTCGATTGCTATTGTGACTTTTCCCTTCTCATACCCAATGGATGGATATGCATGCTAGACAGATAGATGGATTGGATTGACACGGTATTTTTCTTTTTCCGTTGCAACGCTGACGCATAAGCTTGATGATTTCTACATTCTTTTTTTTTTTGAAAGGGCATATCTGCTTGCATTAGATAAGGACAATAACAGTACACGGGAGTACAGAACTCGACACTGCAACACCCTTAACGAAAAGAAAAATTACAAATACGCCCAGCAGTGTCATCTTCCACGCAGCCGGCAACGCATCACAGGTGAGCTCGCCATCGGCTTCTCCCAAGCAACAGCAAAAGGAAGGGGACTGCTACCATGAGCTCCCCGAGTTCGCATCAACACAGATCGCCACAACGGGCTACATAAGCCTCAATAGGAGCCTGTCCCGAGAGACAGGGCAAAAGCACCGATGAAAGACCCTCGGCCGGGGCAACGCCCCCAAAACAAGGTTGATGCAGATCCATTGTCAACGCCAGAGAGAAACAGACAAGGAGCACTCCGATGTTCCATCGCAGACGGAATGAAATGAGTACGAACT